TGAGCGTTGGATTTTGAGAGAATTGAAAACAAAACCATTTACAACGGCGAATGAATTAAAAAATATGGTCAACAAGAATTTAAAAAAAGAGGTTTGTGCCGAGACCATTCGTAACGTGTTAACTAAGAGTAATTTCAATGGGCTAATAGCCAGAATAAGACCGGATATCAGTAAAAAGAATAAAATTGCACGGGTGAAATTTTGTTTTGTTGAAAGATTCTCACTCTTGGAACAAGGTAATTTTGTAAAAACTTGTTACATTTGATTACTTTTTATCTTATCACTTATTTTATAGGTATTGTTTACTGATGAGAGTAAATTTAACCTACATGGATCAGATGGAAATATGTACGTTAGGCGTAAGCCAAATACTGAGTTTTTGCCTAATAACACTCGGGCTACGGTTAAGCAGGGGGAGGTTGGATAATGGTGTGGGGATGTGTTTCTAGTGCAGGAGTAGGGAACATTCATTTTATAGAGGGTAAAATTAAACGAATGCAATATTTGGACATTTTGAAACAAAATGTGAAGCAAAGTGCGGATAAATTGAAGATATTGGACAAATTTGCTTTCTATCAGGAGAACGATCCAAAGCATACTAATGATAAATATAAATATATGAAACCATAATTCATTTTGAATCATTTACATCTCTAAATATGAAACAGAGAACGTATAATATAGAGAGACTTTCAGGGTGTGCCGATTGTCATCACGATCCTCTTTTTGAGGAGGGGGTTGAGTTTTCTATTAGTGGATTTTACCACAAAAATATTATTAGCGGATTTCACCAATATTTAACATGAGGAGGTTGAAAATATCAGAATTGAGCATTTTCATTGTTAAATGAGAAAAGTGATACTCATTTCGATGTCCGCTTACAGATTCGCATATTTACAATGCGCAAACTGCTATAGAAAATGTATATATGTACATACATGCAATTTGACCCATTTAATGATGAATTCCATTAAATCTGTTGAAATGTGTAACTAAGTCATATTTGTATTATGACTTAAATATATATTTATTTAATATAATTATAATTAATATATGTTTTTAAGTTACACATATATTTATATGCATATGTATTTACATATATACTTTGGGCATTTGAAGTTTCGATAAAATCGTAAAAATCATATGCATATAAATATGTGTACATGTAAAAAGAGTTTAAAAACCATATATATGCTTGCATATTCACATATGAAATTACATACATATGTCATTTTTTGTTGATGTAAACAAATTTGAAAGAATAATTCGAATTATGTGTGTAAAATTGTCTCGACATAACTTTATGTAAATATATACACACATTGTTTCATACAAAAACTCCGTTGTCACGGACAATCAAACTTTGTCAAAAAGTCAATGGTAGAAAATCGGAGCTGTACCGATACCGCTTCCCTTGCCGCTTTACAGCTTTGCCTACAAACTAGCGTAAATACATATGTATGTTTGTGCTTGCATATATATCAACGCAGCTGTGTAAAAATATTTCAGAATTACAAAGTATTTTGTACATTCCTTGACAAATACAGTCAATACTGGTTATGTGCCACATTCCAAGATACATATATTTGTAATTAGTTAGAAATAAAAATATAATATGGTTCATAAGCGACAGCGGATACTTAAACGACTTTTATCCAACTTTATAGTCAAACATTGAAAACGTAAAATAACTATTCTTCTGTAGATTCTTTTTGAATAACACGCTGTAATAAATATAGTGAATTTTGTAATAAATGRACAATCTTATGATAACTTAGAATACGATTACGCCATACAAGTGTAATGTGCTAAAAAGTCTTGTTTACTTTGCAGCCTACCTTGTATATATAATAAGTTCCGTTATTATAACAAATTATATTAATGGGTTAATTGTATAATGGGTTACAAAAAAAAGAAGAAAAAAAAAACAACAACACAGAGCTAATGCAGGAGAACACAAATTTTCGAAGAATAGAACTACAAAAAAATACACAGTGCAATGGATCATAAATGGCTCAGTAATCAGTTGATAAATAATATACCACGGGTATCCCAAAAGACTGATGCCATAACCTTGCCAGTCGACTTTTTCGGCTTTTTACTCTTGAGGACTGGTTCATAAATGCAGTCATAGGTTGTTTGTCGATTAGACTTCATTGTAAAATGATAGAGCCATGATTCTAGTGTCACACAACGACACAAAAGTTCGGTTTATTTTCAATTAGAGATCACTCAAACACTCCTATGATGCGGGTGCCACTTTGCTCAGTGTTCGCTTCGTTAGGGTGTCTACTGCCTTCATTGCCCTCGGTGCCCATTTTGCCTCTTTACAACCTAGCAAATTTCTTTTCAATGGTTGATTTCCCTGATGCAGAGTACAAAAAGTAATGCTCTATTAAAACACGTACTTTAAAGGTAGGAACTGACTAGAAATCATATAGATAGTGATAGTAGTACCATCTAGGTATCCACAGTAAAGCGTGGACGAATCCTCTAAAAATAAAAATAGAGTGTGACTTTGAATCATAATAGTTACGAAATTGAAATGTCAGTTTATTCAAAATTACAAACAAGAATTTTTTAGACTTGTTACATGCTAGCTATCTTGTGATAAATTTGAGATAATAGTTTGTAACTAAAAACTAGAAACTGTATTGTTAATAGTAACTTGTCATAAATTGAGAACTTACTTCTAATCTTTTAAATTGTAACTAGAGACTGCTTACTGAATTGGGCTATTAATCTCATATCCCTACAACAATTTAATACAATAAATTTAGTATCTTCGGTTAAGTTTATGTCTGATATGTATGCACATATATATATCTGTATAGTTTTCTATTAGGGGAAGTAAAATTGGTTTGCAAAATTTTTTAAAATGAAGTTTAGCCAAAACTATTTGCGAACCAGCAAAATTACATTTTCCTTACCTTCCAATAATGTTCAATTATGTACAGGTTGTGTTATTTCGGAGGGTGTTTCTTTTTCCGAAAGAATTTTATTTCGTAGTATACAACTTTTTTTCTTAGTTTTTTTTATGAATGTTGTTTTCGATGATTTTGTGGTTAAAAAAATACGTTTTTTTTTTTACATGAATCGGTGATAGCTATCGTTAGAGAACTGTAATCGTGCATTCTTATGTGCCACGATTTCAAGAGGAATTATCGTCAATAAACAAACTTCAATTGTAGTGTGCAACTAACGAATGCTTTTTCGTTCTATTAATGCTAATGAGAAACTTTCCTAAATACCTTGTTTAGCACATTCTGTTAGGGATCATTAGGTAGAATAAACCTACTCTCTAAAAAAATAAACAAAGGCTATTTCCTATAAATAATCGCAACACAAAAATTCAAGAAGTAAAGTTATTTGAAAGTATATGTTATACTCAATATTTAATAAGAATATTTGGTTAGTTGATGGTAGTTCTACAGCATAGTAGAGAAATATAATATATTTATCGTTCTTGAATTATATACATATATCTATACAACATTTTGTAAAGCATTACTAAAATCAATGTATGGTCAGCAATAGCACATTCTGAAAAAAGCTCCCGGAAATTGTATTTAAATGATATTAAAAAAAAAGTATTTTGATAAGTGGTTAAGACTGTCCTTAATTACTGTGCCCAATATGTACGCGATGTGTCAACCCAAAATCAAACATCAAATTCAAATATCGACGCATAAATGCAGTTTCTTTTCGTGCTGTCGAGAGCAGCAGACGAAGAGGTGGTGTGTGTCGATTCTCCTTTCAAGGAGCTTTTCCAAGATCAAGCCCATGGTGAATGTCTGGACCGTTGCTGATTTGCCAAGTCTATCGCCACACTGATAAGGTTCAATCAGTTTGTTTACGATGGGTTTTAGTCTGTCACACAATACGCTCGAGGCTTATCCCACGGTAGTTGGCGCAGATTGTTGGGTCTTCCTTTTTATGGATTGGGCATAGCACACTTAAATTCCAATCATTCTTCATGTTTTGGTCCGACCATATTTTGAAAGGAAGCTGATGCATGCTTCTTATCAGTTCTTCACCGCCGTGTTTGAATAGCTCGGCCGGAAATCCATCGACCCCCTCTTTGTTATTTTTCAGGCGGGTAATTGCTATTCGAACTTCTTAATGGTCGGACAATGGAACGTCTGCTCCATCGTTACCGATTGGAGAGACGGGTTCGCAGACTTGAGAAGTGTTCCCTCCATAATTTAAGTATTCTCTGGGCATCGAACCTTTCTGAGTTCTAAAAGAGTATGCTCCGGTCTTGAAACCTTCTGTAAGCCGTCGCATTTTTTTCGTAGAATTTTCGAGCATTACCCCTGTCGGATGAAATAGATCATCCCGCACGTGTTGTGGTCAATCGTAACGCTGCGAGGTAGACAGTCTGTTTTCTCTCCGCTACGAAACGGCACTCCTCGTCATACCAACTGTCCTTTAGTATTTTCCGGAAACCAATGGTTTCGGTTGTTATTTCTTTTCGTTGGTATGATTTTTTACGTGTCGGGTCCCAAATCCAGCGCACAACCCTGCGGATCACGGCCTCAAACGGATGTTCTTGAGTCGTGAGTTATTTGTTTGAAAATATTAAAACAAAAATAGTGAAGGATATGGTGTTTGAAAATCGTCAGGCAAGTGTTATCGAGATAGCAACACAGATCGATATCGTTCTTGCTCCACTCGTTCTGATACATCTAAACTTCTTTTCAAAAATAATACGGTTGTGACCGAATTTAAAGCCAAATACGCAATGAATACCATAGATCAACCACCGTATTCAGCAGATTTGGCTCCAAAAAGTGTTTCGAAGACTGTCAAAATCGTTGAGGGCAAATAGAACATCAATAGCATCTGGAAATCAGTTTTAATCTACTCTGTTTAAACTTTAAATAGTGTACGTAACATTGTATGCCGTTTTTAAACAACCCATTTTTAATATGTATAAGGACCAGATAACATAAATAAAATGTTTTCATCTACGCTTTTAAGAATTTTAAAATACTTACTTCTAGGTATTCAGCAATATGCTCACATGCATCCTCCAGTTGATTTTCATCAAGTATCACATCAAACATCTCTGAGGGACACTGCGCTAGTTTTTCAGCAGCAACCATTTGAACTGAAAGATTTTTAGCTTGAGATTTTCCCCTTGATTTAATCAACCTTTGTAAAACCTAAAATAAAATTTGGTATCTACAGTCTGGTTTTCTATAGTTGTATACGGGATTGTATCGAACGCACATTAATATTAAGCACATCTTATCATCTCTTAAAAATAATGTGATATAATATCTTAATATGTATACATAATTTCTTAGCCTATTTTTGAAAAGTTTGAAACATATCCAACTTTCCTAAGGTTATTCTGCATTTGTCAGCTCCTACTCAGGGTTGCAAATTTTTTGATTCAAACACTTTGGATTAAAATTTAAATTTTTTGTTCATGATGTTGGGAGCAAAAATTAAAAATTAAATTGTCGATGCAATTTGTTCATACTAAGTGAACCCATCCCTAAAATGTCCTCCTAACTCGACTAAATACGAATTTGAGGACAATGAATAAAATCACCCAACAGCACCAACATAACAACGAAGAACCCAACCAACAGAAGGACACAATAAAACGAATCAGCACAGCGGACGGACATACAGGTGCCAAACCCAGTAGCAGCAATATCAGCAGCAACAACAACTGCAGCAGAATCATTATATCAACGCGGGAATAAGTGACCACATCAGGTTTTATTTAAAATTTATATTCACAAATAACCTTTGATTATATAAACATAATACTAACCCACCCATACTATACACATATTGTACCCTGAAATACATATGTAAATTGCATTTTTATCCAAATGCAATAATTTTATTTTATTTGGCACACCGGAAAACATAACGTCGACAACCACGGCATTTTGGTCCTTCGAGCCGGATCGAGTGTCTCCTGAAATAAAACCCACCCAATTAACTATCACATCAGGATTTTGGATCAACAGGTTTATATACATATATGTATATATTAATATTCTATTCAGTCAATCTTTTGTTTAACCGGTATTAAGCACAAAATATTTGCAAAATGTGTTATTGCCGTATTACGCTTTGCACTTCACTCTTTCATATACATACATACGAACATATTTTTTGAGAGCCAAGTATCGTTGCTTTGGCACCCACTTGTACACGTATGTACATATGGCTATCTTCGTAAATGCATCATGACTTGCAGCATAAGCAACAGTCGCAACACTGCAAGTTTGACGTTTGATACTTCTTATACAATTTTTGACAATTTGCTGATACATTTGTTTGCATTTTTGAACGCGTATAATACTAAAATGGAAATTTTGCTGAATTTAACACTAGACGAAATTTGTGAGCAAAGAAATGATAAATTTTCTTTAAATCTAAGAAATAGAAGGGTATCGAAGTCTAAAAGCAAAAATTGTTGGTACAAATGTTTGTCTTTAAAAAGAAAAATACCTAAAAAGAAATTATTTATTAAAACAATAAAGTCGTTTCCCGAGGACATTTTCTCTTCCCATTTCCGAATGAATTGGGCCACTTTTAAGGAAAGGTTTTATAAGTTTTATGAAAATTAATAATTTATAGTTTCACCTTAATTAGGCTTTGGAAAATGCTTTGACTCCACACTGGGTAACTGCAAAGCTTGGCCGTGATGGTCATTCGTTAGAGAATTGTCGGTACATGACATTATGGAAGCTATGTAATAACAGGATGACGTTCCGACAGCTTTTGGATCGCTTCAACATTGCACACCGTGCGCCTAACAAAACAATCCAAGCTATTTGTCCAGTTTTATATGTGGAATTACGTTTTTAACTTCGGTCACAACTTTCTTCCACAATACATTTTTTTCCTTCTACCCGATTTAAACTCGTCCACCATATTCAACCGTACTCTCAGCAATAACTGTGTCTCCGCATTACTGAGATTTTCACTAAAAATTTAAAAATTATAATTTATACAATTATTATTAACATAATTTAACTAAATTTCAATACAAAAATTAAAATAAAACAGTTTTGCACTTACTTTTCGTCAGACATCGTAGTTAAATGTAGTACACAATTTTTTGATAGAAATTATGAGTGACAGCTGATAGAAGTGTTTTTTTTTTTGAACGCTTGATTATTGCAGTGCTGCAATATTGGCATTTCTGAACGTTCTGTTTGTTATGCAATCGTCATGATGCGCGTCATGATGTATTTACGAACATAGCCTATGTTTTATTGCATTACCGCTCAACTAACAACAAACTAACGTTGACTGCTAGTGCAGTGTGAGCAAGCAAAAAACAGACCCTGTAGGAAAAATTTCAAAAGACCCATGGAAATTTTTCATTCGGTATTACAGTATTTAAGTCCTTATTACCTAAATTTCGTGTAGCGTCAATGAGTTGGTCTTGTGCTTTAATCGTATAAATAACAGTCCCTTTATCTTGAAAGCTCTTCAGAACTTTTCATTAAATTCTAAAAGCTTTCTCAGTCGAGAATTCTTCAATGGTATCTGTTGACACTTTTCCAAGAAAAACTTCAAGATGCTTCGACGTCAGCTTTCCAACTCTTAAACCATTAAGCACATCTATAAATGTCGTATCTTCTTGTTAACACATGTTTTGTTGGAGTTCAACAAGGTGGAATTGTCGCCACAGATGTGTAGCGGGTTTCATATGTTCTGGCTGTTGAAATACTTGATGTCCTCGGACAGGTGGTAACTACAGTAAATCACGAAGGAGTAAGACATTTATACCTTAGTTGGCGCAAACGAGAGTCGATCATGCAAAGAATTTCATAAGGCACCATAGAAATTTCGTCTATGAACMGAAACTCAACGTTTTGCCATAAATGGTGCATCCCTTTTAAATAATTTCCCGTAAGAAGTGGCATTTTAATGATGACGCCATCTCTTTGTACTGGTAGTTTCAACAGACTGTGTAGTATATAACCTCCGACCAACCGTGCTGCAACTCCAGTAAGAGCACCAACTTTCACGACCAAATTACTGGTTACTTCTCGATAAATCTTTGGGTCTCATAAATATCGAGAGTACTGGGATCAACATCAGCCCTACCATCGGCTATTAACAAAGCCTTTCGTKGGTCTAGCCAGTTGAGATCATTTGAGCTAAATATCTGAATTGAGCAAATAGTTAATTCAGAGCTGATCTCCAATAAGCTGCCGAACCTCTTAAATGTTTTACATAAATATGGACATCTTCTACTGCTCCTTCTTGATTAACAATTTTTTTGCCGCAAGCAGATATAGTGCTTTTGATTCTATAATATTCAARGAAGGATAAGGCATAAAATARATAGTCGTTACGTTGAAATCTTGTGTGACTTCATAAAATTCTAAACTGAAAGTAGTCTAACGCTGTAGTATTACAACCTTTGTTCTTTGAACCCGTTTTTTCCGTAAGGAAACAAAAAGTACCAGGCAAATTCTTCTGCTTTCAGTTCATGTCCGATATTAACGATATCTTTCGTTTTTCGGGTAATTTCGTTAAGGTTTCGTGAAACCTGTAGTTGATCTTCCACATTGGGTTGCATTACATCAATCGACGCCACCAAAGATGTCTGCAGTGGAATTAAATGATTAGGTAGTTCTTGTTGAGAATTAATCACTTCAGACGCTTCCATTACAATCTCAATACTCTGCTGTATTTCTATCTCATCAGGATCATCTGTTTCATATACAACATCAACGTAATCAAGAGTATACTGCACATTTTTGCTGCCTGTTGTACGTTTACAAATCCTCACAAACGTCTAAATTGTCGCATTCCATTGTTATCCTATGCTCTAGATCTCTTTTGACCACAAGAATGTGAGTTATTGAAGTAATATTTGCTCTCATAATACCTGTTATTATTATGTTGTCGCTATGTTCCATGAAAAGATCTTCCAACCCTTGACGAAGGGTACGTCCGAAGTTTGTTTCATTATTCTTCTCAAGCTTCCATATATGGCTTGGCAAAAGTGATCTGAAACCGTTTGCCTAATGCGACTAAAACATCTTTTATTGCATGGAAATTTCGCACCAGTAGGTATCCATCGTCTTCAATATGATAGGCCATTAAATTTCGCTCCGTTTGAAATCTTATATTGCTGTCGATTTGGTCACCCGATATCATATTCTGGTTGAGGGTGTTTGTAAGTCACTGTTGTGGTGCAAGAATACTGGCTCTTAGGATGTTAGACAATGTCCACCTGCAAATCCTGATGTGATTATGAGCTCCTTTCCTTGGTGCCATGACGCACGTACAATTCTCGAAAAATCACATATTCTTGTGTAAGCACTAGTGTCATTGTTAAGTTGTGGAATATTTTTCATTGAATTCAAATGGGTTTTGCAACGATTGCAAACAACCAAACATTTTTTTTTTGCTTAATTCATTAGGCAAATATGTGTTTGCTATAGCATCTACCATCCACTTAAAAATTTGATGTTTATAGCATCGTTTAGTACAAACTTCACAAATCGCATCGCAAAACGAGTTAATTGCCTGCCTAAAGCTCGTTATACTGGCTTTACGTATCCTTCGGACCTCTTCGTTTTGTTTCTGCATTTGCATCAAACGAGCCTCTCTGACTTGTTTTGATTCTGAGGCTCGTTTTTCTACTGCATTCTGACACATTTGCTGCAAATTAGCCTCTCTGGCTTTTTCTGGTTCTGAAGCTCGGCTTTCCGCTGCATGCTGACGCATTTGCTGCAAACCAGCCTCTCTRGCTTGCTCTGGTTCTGAGGCTCGGCTTTCCGCTGCATGCTAACGCATTTGCTGCAAACGAGCCTCTCTGACTTGCTCTGGTTCTGAGGCTCGGCTTTCCGTTGCATGCTGACGCATTTGCTACAAACGATCCTTTCTGACTTCCTCTGGTTCTGAGGCTCGGCTTTCTGCTGCATGCTGGCGCACTTGCTTCAAGCGAGTTTCTCTGCCTTCCTTTCTCATGTTCGACCTTCTCCTGCATGCTGACAACTTGCTGAAAAAGGAGCCTCTAATAATTCGCCGAAGTGTTCTGACGATCTTTCCATTCTTTCATTGTGATTTGTTGTTTTTTGTATAAACAATTGGTTAAATAAAATTAATTTATTAGTTTATAATGAAAAGATTTTAATCAAATATACTACACGACACACAGACATTTTGA